AAGAACCACAACTTCCCCTTTTATTTGCTTACTGGTATTTTTGGGGATCTATAGGGATATCTCATTACGCGTGAACCAATATTTAAACTTTGTCAATCAATCAGTCGTCTTCATACCCCGTTCGGTATGAGCATCAAAATATCATCCATCAATATCACATCTGGTATGAGGGTGAATCGGGTCATCCCCATACTCCGTCTAGTACGATCACTAAAAATATCATCTTTCGATACATCGTCCGGTATGAGGTAATGTTTACGGTAGAATTTTTTATGTATCCGATCCGCCTACCATCTCGCAGAATATCCAGTAAAACAATCATTCATTAATTCACTTAATAAAATAATTTTTCATTTTTATTTTAATTTCTAGTTTCACAAATTAACCGTAAATCACACAAGACAAATAATACATGCATCAATGAAGTATAACTAAATCATTTAACTATTTCAGTATATTATCATGCATTTAAAGCTGTAAAATCAAACAATTAGTTAAACAGAACAAATAATAAATAACTAACAGGTTCCGGCTCCATTAGTTATCTGTAATTATTCTCGAAGTTTTTCAAATTAACCAAAATACCATATTATCGATCATTAAACTTTAATTCCATAACAGAGAGTAAGGTGATGGATTTTTATCCGAATTGATGTCCGCAATACTGAACTTTTTACTGCACTTATTAGCGGTCCCTGATTTTTCTAAATTTTCCTGCGGATATTGAAACATATTTCACGTACCTAAAAATACTTTAAAAATTTAAAATTGGTGTTAAAATCCTTTTTCGGCCAATTTCAGGATTCCAGCACGACGACACTGCTGTGCTCCGGCAATGGCACAGCCATCCGCGGCGGCAATTTGTCTCGGTTTGGCCGTTTTCGGCTGGTTTTGGTCAATTTTATACACATTTCTGCGAGAAAACACGTTAGGGAGCTTCAGTTGGCCGAAAAAAAATCAAAAAATGGAAACCTACCGGCAGTGAGATTTTTCAATACGGCGGCTCCGCCGGCTCACCTTCATGATTAGACGTTTTTCTTATGTCAACATATAGAAAACATAATGATAAATACAACGGTAAAAAAATCGTACAAAACGGAAAACGAAAAAAGGCTCATCGGAGGCGGTTGCGGGTTTTGCCTGCAACGGCTCCACCGGGCTTTGCCCGCAGCTTTTTACTCACCCGCCATTTGTTTTGCTCCGATATGGCCACAAGTGTGCTCAAAATTGAATTCTGAGTAGGTAAGAGAATTTTTACCTTTTTTAGTGGTCGGAGGTAGCTCCGGTGCGGCGACAGGTGGCCGTCGTCTCCCTTCTCCGGCAGCTGGTTCTTCTTCTCCAGGGGGCTGGCGGGTAGGATTCGAGTTCTGTGTGATGTGAAATATTTATACCAATTTTGCGTTATTCTGGATCGTCAATCGTGTTTAATCTCGATCATTCGATCGCGCCTAAGGAGGAAACGAATCTGAACCGTTCATCGCATCTGATCGTGACTATTCAATCGCGCCTGATGATGGAACGAATCCGGACCGTCCACGCACGCGGGAAGGCTTCTGGTCGTCCGATCGCGGAGCACGTGGATCGCCAGCATGACCTCCCCCGTGACACCGAGGCAGCATGCCTTGCCAAGCGGTGCACTCTGGTTTGTCGAGACTGCTGACTGAGCGGTCCTACGTGGCAAAATTTTTTAAAATTGCATTTCGACTTTTAATTTTTAATTTTTCTTTCAAAAACACCATGCGAACCCAAATTTTTACATCTTTTTCTCAAAATTGTTTTCAATTTCATTCCTAATCTAATTTTTTTTTCATAATTCACATTAAATTAAAATTTATTAATTTCAAAAAATAAATTTTTATACATTTTAGAATGTTAAAATTAATTCCGGATATTACAATATTATTGAGATATTATATAAAATATTAGTGCTTAATGAGAACGCATATAAAATTATATAAAAATATATTTACAGCATTTTTTTATTTTTTAAAAGGTTTAAATATATTGATATATTGCATAGTATTTCAGTTGAAATTTTTTGGAAAAAAAAAGTTTCCAAAATGCACAACCAAACACAAATTCTATAGAAACAAAATTAATTACTTTATTATCACACTTTACATTCCGCATTTATATTGTCACTTTAAAAAATAATATTAATTGGTATAAAATTATAAATTAATGTCATATGATTAAATATTTATTGAATGAATAGTATATTGTATAATATTAGTTTAAATGTATTATTTATTTAATAAAATATATAAATTTTTTTAAAAAAATTCCAATAAATAAAGATGGAAAAAGAAAAATGGGCAACGGATTATAAAAAAGCCCAAACCAAAAGCACAAAAACATAGGCCGTGGAATGGAGAAGACGTTGCTGGAGTGTCTGGAGCCTCGATCCAACCGGCACTTCGGTTCGCTTGCCAGCAGCAGGACAATTCCAGAGCTCCTACATAACATAACCCTTTAGTCAGAGCAATAGACCCTTTTTTTTTCTTCTTTTGACAACCCTACCATCTTCTCTGACAAGACTCAACTCCAACTATATATATATATCTATATAGCACTATCACATAATATATTGAAGCACCCTCTGCTTGCGATTTATTGTAAGGTAAATTCTGAGTTTTTATCTTTTATTATAATTTTAATTATTTACTTTTTAAAAAAATAATAATAAATAATGAATTTTATTTATAAAAAATGTTTCTTTAATTAAAGATAAACGAATAGATATGTATAAAAATTCTTATATATGATAAACTTTTTGAACTGGAATATTCATGAGAAAATTTTTAAAAATTGCCGCTCTAGAGAAAATTATTGAGTTGTGAACCTGACTCAAAAATCTCCTCATTTGTGAGTTGCCAGTAGGGTGATCCTGGAAATTTAAAGGACTTATCTTCTACTTAGAATGCTTAGATCAGATCATGCTTTAGCCAGTGTTCTTCCATTAGTCTGTTATTAAGCTTCATCTTCTGTTCTCCATGTTTCCCAGTTACAAGACTGGCA